CTCTCTCTCTCTCTCTCTCTCTCTCTCTCTCTCTCTCTCTCTCTCTCTCTCTCTCTCTCTCTCTCTTGGTCCTTCCTCATCATCGGGCTTACGCATCTCGAAAAATATATCGCAAATATCGATACACACAATGCGGATGTACGATCCGACCCGAGTAATATTGTCCGGGCCCGGCAATATCGCGTTCTAATAAGCCTTAATAACGCGAAATCGCATTCCCTCGGATCTCTCAGTCAATTGACGTTACGGTCAATATACCGCCGGTAACAATGGTAACGTGGAAATATCGTTTTCCCCGACAAAACGATATTTCCACATCACAGCCGAGTTCTGGCCTCGTATTGATAGATTTGATAGATATTGTTAATGATAATATCGACACGCATTAATCCCAGTATAATTATGTTATAATATCACGCAGTAAGGGGGACTCTGTTTCATATTAACAAATGGGCGTGCGCGCGCGATCATAATGTGTCCTATCGTACAAAGATATGTGCAAAAACACGCTCTCCCTTCCTCCCTCTGTTACATTCAATGAGCCGAATTAGAGGTGTATTATCCATTCCAATTGAACGGAAGCGGCATGCTCTCGCCTAAAAATACACGTGCGAGACGAGGAAAGTGGTTTGGCGCGCAACCGAGGAGGGCTGTGCGCGACAGCCGACGCGAAACAATCGCTAAACGTCGAGCGTTAAATACGCAGCACTCGTTTGCGTTCGCCGTAACATAATTGTTCCTGTAACTTTCTACCCTTCCTGGCAGACGGACGCATCGACTCGCTCGTCGCGAGACGAGGAGAAATTCCGATAGCACGTTCGGTCGCGACGCATCGTTCCTTTCTTGTTCTCCACTTACATCGTTAAAGTGCGCATCCATCCGCACGGAGAACGGCGATGTCGAGAGGCTGAGGGAAAAGATAGATAGAGAGGAGAGACACACAGAGAGAGAGAGAGAGAGAGAGAGAGAGAGAGAGAGAGAGAAAGGGAAGATGAAGGTAGATAGATTGAGAGAGAAAGGGGAGAGGAGAAGGGAGAGAGAGAAAGCGCATTAACATACCTGCAATATGCATGCAGGGTGGTGCATGGGGCGCACTCGTCCGATTCGACGTTGCAGTGCGTGCGGGGGAGGGGAGCTTACACAGGAATATTCGCGTTAATTCAAAGCGATGGTATGCGCCCGCCGCGGATTAATATATTCCGGATTATCCGTCTGTGTTTGCGCTAATGCTCGCGCCGTTGGGTTAGTTAAATATGTAAATATAAGCGGAGAGCGCACGACTATGCGCCGGACGTTACCCCTGGTTACAACGTTAGCGTGTAGGAGAAGGAAGGAAGGAAGGAAGGAAGGAAGGAAAGGAAGACGGATAGATAGTGGTCCTGCTTCGCGAAAAATAACGCGAAAGACTGCATATCGTAACAAATTGAGGGTATTAAAAGTCTCGCGCGTCCACTTTAAAATATTTCGTACAAGCAACGAAAGTCGAATCTGGCTTTTGCGAGGATAAGCGCGCGTCTGACCGAGAATTCACTATCGAGTAATACACTTGGATGCGATTTGCAGGCCACGAACGCGAAATACATAGCAGCAAGGAGGAAAGAAGCGCGTACGCAGTCGTGCGCGCTGTACAAGCTCGCATTACAGTCTCGAATGAAACTTTTGCTCCCTGTCTTACACGTATTAATCATCGTAGCGATACATTTATCTTCGAAGAACGCGAAGTATTACGGCAGCCTTCTGCACGTAATAAAGGAAGGATTACCGACCGCGTAATGGAAAATTGCGGTTGCGCAACATCTCTTTCGGGAAGAAAGTGGTAGCGGAAGAAAAATGCAATTCTCATGACGTCGTCGTCATCGTCGTCGTCGTGGTTGTTAACACCAACCCGATACGCTCGCTGTCACTCATCAGAGCGTTGATTATGAATGCGTCTCGTGGTTGACGCGTCGCGTTTGGGAGTGAACTTTGCAATTTACTTTCAAGTCTCTCCGTGTTACAGAAAATATTGAAATGCTTCACTCTTTTATTTTCTTCGTCGATATACTTAATACACGTAAAGTATCGTTAAAATAAAAATAGACTATAGTTGTCTCGAGATTGCAAACTATACTCACACTTATGAAAAGCATATTAAATATTAAATATTTTCTTCGTCAATATATTCAACGCATAGTTTACAAAAGTATCGTCGGGTCGTAGGAAAAACGTGTCGCAACAACTTCGCGCGCGCGAAACGAAACATCTCACACAAATTAACGCCCTTGTCCATCGAATGTACCGGGTTAAAAAAGCTGATACAGCGAGAAAACATTGTTGAACCGAAGCTAGAGCGCCGAGCGACGGCCTGAGTGATTCGCGGGCAAGCGAAAAAGCGGCGGGACGAGGAGGAAGCGGCACGACGTTGATCGCTGCCGGCGCGAGAAAGGGGCAAAAGAGCGGTACCGGAAGCGACAGCGGCGGCAGGGGTGGGTTGCGACGGGCCGCAGGGGTTGGAAACGAGCGGCGCAGCCGGGTTTATTCACAGCGCGCGCGAACGAACCCGACGAAGCCCAGATATTAATTTTCTCGATGTATATGGATGAGTCCTGACTAGGCCACGTTGCGGGCTTCGCGAGGGAGGAAGACAGACGAAGGCAACACGCCGACGGGAGGAAGGAAGCGGCGGAGGCGGCGGTAATGGTGGTGGACGTACCTGGTGGCGGAAAAACGAAGGGGCTGACGCGGGAGGAAAGGGGGATGATGTGGTGGCTGTGCACCATCGCCTCCGGGAGGTGTTCGTTCAGAACGGCGAAGGGTGGCTAAATTGCTATCGATCTTCTCCAGCCACGCAAATATCGTTTACCTTGCAGCACCCACCTCCGATCCTTTCGCAGCGCCCGCTGTTCCCTTCTCCCCTTGCCACTCTTCCTATCGCCGCCGCCGCCACCACCACCACTACCACCATCACCACCACGGCCGCCGCCACCGCCGCACATCGCTGTCGACGCATTACGCGAGTACGCGTTATCAGTTTGATGGAGATCCCGGCTTTTCGTATCACCGATTCTGATAGCTCTGG